AAAACATTTATTTTTATCATTAGGGAAATTACGATATTCTACATCACAAGTCACACTTAGTGCGACGGGGTATAATTGAATATAATTTTTATTAGTAATAAATTTAAATATTTTTCTCAAAAAAAAAAAATTAACTCGATGATTTTTGTGATTTTGTGACCTAATTTAACTCGAAAATATATAATCATTATTCTATGTTTCATAATAATTTTTTACCTATTAATATAATTGAAAATTCTAAAACATGAATTATAATACAGCTATAATAAAAGCAGCGTTCATTATTGGCAGATATATTTGAGGTTTTGCTACAAATGAATTATTCCTTCAAGAGCCAATTATTACAAGTAAACAAACAGAACGACATTTTGATCTTTGATAATATTCATTGAAACTTCTAAATTTTATTGATAAAAGCAATTGAAAAGTTCTAAATGAATTTTATATAATTTTTAATATCGAGATACATTATATTTATCAAAGTAGTTGCAAGATTTATTATAATTATCATAATAAAGGCAGTTAAAACGTTGATTGAATGGATTGAATAAACATATGGTATGAGTAATGAAACTTTACAAAATAATATTACATCCAAACATATATGCGATTGATCACGATATAGATTCGCACACTATGACGAATAATAAAAAAATAATTTATAAGAAATACAATAGTTAATAAGTATACCTTAAATTATTATCATTCATTATCACCGTAGACAAAATCTGAAACATTTGATTTACCTTTTCCTCCATAAGAATAATTAGTTCGATTTTTTGCATTCTCGGCTTGTGCAGAAACTGCACCCGATCGCTTTTTATAGAAAAATACAAATGCTCCTAGTAAAGTAATAGATAAAACAGATATAACTACACATAATACGATTAATTGTGGTCGATAGTGATGATGATGATTGTTTTGATGGTGATGGTGGTGATGATGGTAATGGTGGTGATACAGAAATTTCTGTTTGAAACTTTGAATCCATGAATAATTTTCTGTGTCGAGTATGTTATCGTTTCTTCATCCTGAAAAAGATAAAATTAATCGTATTATATTTTGTTCTTTAAAAAATACGAGAAACATACCAAACATGATGAATATATATCTATTTTCTACAAGTTCTGCACAATGTATATTAAGCAGTGGAGGCTCTAATCCCGAAATGTCTGGAATTCTCCATTGAAATGGTTTTGCTGATGTTTCTAATATTACAACATTAGGTATTACATCAAGACCTCCGATTATTACAATATCTTCATTTGGAACTAGATAGTAGAAAGTTAGTGAAGATATCAAGAATGAAAAAAGGTAATAAATTACTTACGAAGTGTAGATGTATGATATCTACGGTGATCGGACATTTCGTTTGGTACAATTTGTCTACTCTAAATATTATCAATTGTATCAAATATTTCGATCTGTATAATTTAAAAATTAATAATTGTCATTATCATATGAATTCTTTCTTGTACTTTACCTGACTAATAGGTCTATTTAAATTAACATTGTCCACAGGCGCTTCAAATCCTCCAATCGCCCATCATTTAAGAGTCATCCGCAAATATTGGTATATGCGGTGCTGGTAAAATAGTCCAGGTGATTGAAAAGGTGTCAAATAAATATGTATCACTTACAAACGTGTTATTCAAAAAATAACCATCATGAAGATAGGCATTCCCTTATTATTTGATTTAATTCTGGCGCTCTTCCATTTCTATTTTTCTCCATTCATTATGTTGAATATCGTATTCTAATAGAGTTTGTTCACGAATTATACGAGATTGACTAATTGGGTCTTGTATATCACCTCCAACAACTAATATAAAATTATTATTAAAACCGCCAAGTACTACTCCGCTTGATGAAAATGCCAAAGGTGGGGCTTCCAGTGAAGGTGACCATGGCGGAGAATCAATAGTAAATGAAGTGGTAAGATCGATGGATAATATTTCAGGTATAGTTTTTCCATTATTAGATCCTCCAAGAACATATATTACGTCATCTATGATTACACTTGTGGCATCTTGAATTAATTGACAGTTTAATGGATGAATTACAACAAAAAGAAAATAAAGAACAATGATTATATTAAACATTTTAAGTAATTCAAGAAAAGAAAAATTTTGAACCAAAAATGTAAAGTATAAGAATTATTAGTCTGGAGCGAAGCGAAGGACTATATAATTCTATGTATGGTGACACGTGCCCGCTCATAAGTTGATACTTGATTGGTTACTTTAATTACACTTGCTCCGACTTAGCAATCCCTAGTGTAAGACATTAAATAATGTTGTGCATATGGAGAAATCCGATGCCACACAAGAGACTTCAGCAGGTTTCTCTAAATTTGATTGTTTGTTACCTTACAGCGAATGTCGCAGTAAATAATTGCATAGCTTGCTAATAAAATACGTATTTATATGGCCGGAATAAATAAGATAATTGTATCTTTCAGAAAAAAATTTATCATTTAAATTTTTTTGTTTTTCATAATCCCTTCAATAAAATAGTTTGAAGTAATAATAGAAAGTACTGTCCGACCTCTTAAGAAACACCAAATTTTCCATGGAAATTTAAACCAGGTAAAAAAAATTTTAGATTCTCGTGACATAAAATTTTAAAATTGCACGGTCACGCAAATAAAATTAACTAATTTACGCTTTTTTTTAAAAAAATATTCCAATAATAATAGTTCATGCCATGTTGTGCGCTTAATTCATATTTTATTCATACAAAAATAGGTGAAATGGAAAAAATAGGGATTGGAATGCAAACTATTAAACCGTGTGGAAAATATGTGAACATTTAAATTACTTTGTGACCAGCTACAAATACAATCAATGCATTTGAATTAATGAATCTGCATCAATACTAAATTATCGAAATTAACAGCGAAAAATTCTTGGGAGTATATTTCTGTGTGGAAAAGTACTGTGATGAATAGTATGTTAAATTTTTTATAATAACGATTTTTCATTATATATAGTCACGTGATAAAAATGTTACCCAGCGGGTGACTAATAACGAGTGACAAATATGATTTCACACCTAAAAAAACTGTTTCCCAAATAACATATGAAACATAGTGGGTATGACGTGAGGTAATGATTATTTATATAACCACGTGCCTGAGCTTTTTTGTAGGTGATGCTGGGGAAGATGTTACTATAAAAAAAATCATGAACCTTTGTAAAAATTGAGATGGTCAGTCAGGTCACGAGAATCAAAAATTTTTTTTGCCCGGCCTAAAATGATAACACTTCGAAATAAAAAAATTCTTTCCGGAATGCATGCGACAACACTCATTTTTAAGTTCAACTTTCTCAATTCTTTGACATAAATTTTACTTTTCGACTTCTGTTGTTCATAATTATGAGAGTTGTTCGTTCCGGTTTAGTATAAACTATCTGAATTATTACAAGATATTATAAAACTTCCAATTTCGTTATAAGAAATATCAATGAATAAAGTTTCATAAATTGTGAAATTTCGAATCTACATGGGTAAACCGAATAACAATCATACACCGAAAATCGTTACAAATTGATTGAGCGTGTTCTTCTTCTCGGTATAATTTTGTATAAATTAAAATTTTTTTATCTTTTTTTTAAAAAATAATGCTGTGTTTGTATATATTAAAAATTCTTTGAGCGCGTAGTTAAACATAACAAGTCTTTTCACACAATTGATCACTGGAAACTGTACTCAGATTCACGATCAATTTTTCTAATCTCCTTTAATTATAAATGTAATAAATGTGACGATATATGATTTATAATTCTTCCACTTTTATAGCTTCGAGAAATCGAGAAGATTTAGCGTATTCGTTACAGCACTGGAAACGTATGGTCTTTCCTTACTTATTAATTTACTGTTATATTGACATTGGTTTTAGTATATCTAAATAGCGTGTCGTGTATAAATTCGCGAGTCCGGCTCGGCTGATCCAGTGTTGGCAATGGACATATACAATGGACACTTTTCCATTGTGTCCATTACATTGTCCATTGTGTCCATTGTGATTGATGTATTACAAATCTCGATTAAACTTAAATGGAAAGAGTTAGAAT